AAAACTTTAAAATTAAACCAATCTAAGACTTACTGTATAATAATTGATAAGACTTTGCAAAAGGCAAACTGTCACAATGTGCACAGTATTTATCACTGTTAGACCACAATAGAAGTCCAACTGCAAGGGGCAGGCACAGCTCAATTACAGCAATCTATGCAGCACTATGCGCTTAATGAGCTCCTCAAAGCCTTTAGGTCTGGGTTTTCAAACACAGTTCCTGGGGGGCCTAGAGTCTTCTGCTTTTGGTTTCAACTTGAGTAGTTAATTAAACATTGACTTAATTATTTTCTTAGTTGGATATGTTCAGGATTTTTGTTGAGGTCTTTTACAGTTGACTTCTCAAAACATTCACTCCCTTAAAGGTACAGTTACCTATAAAACTCCTCTTGGTTAGGAGTCTTATAATGTTGAGAGAGCTCAGGTTGCACACAAAAAAGACACTAGGCCCTCCAGGACTTGTGTTTGAGACATTTAGGTTAGATTAATTAGCGTCGAAACTTAGAGACAGTACTGAAACAAACATTTTTTAAGGTAAGTTGCCAATTGTTATTTTTTACTCTGGGTAATTTAAAATACTCTTCCTTCTAGTTTTAAGTGCAGATTTTGGGATCATGGGATTCTGTTAGACAGTATGAAAAGCTCTAGGAATCAATGGTTCATTCCTTTATTGATTTAGCTCATATTTCACTCCCAGAAGTCAATTCATATAATCATAGCTGTTCTAAATCTCATTTGTCTCACCTATTCAGGGTTTCCCACAGGGTGGGACTGCTGCTATTTAATATTCATATGTTGCTTTTTGCTCAGATTACTTATCATGATATGTGACTTGCAGACCTATGCTATTACTGCAGTCTCTGCCTATTAGAGTTATCTACTGTATCTGATATCTGTGTACGTTTGCAACAGAAGTGATTTAAGCTAGACTGAAGTTATGCTCACAGGCCTGCAATGATACCTTTGTAAATCTGGTGACTATAGAGTTGTTGGTGATGATGCTGAAATCAGAATTTTGATGGAAGTTAGAAACCTTGGTGTTATGTCTGACTTCTGTATTGTCAGGAGAGTGTTTAGAACATCACAAGGGTATCTTTTTTTCACATGCATGGCTTCATTTACACAGGCTCTAGGCCAAGCTTACATACAATAGGCAAATAGATTTTTAATATGCAGCACTATATCTGTGGAATGTATTGTCCAGATACATTAGATGTTCTGCGACTATGCATATTTTCCAAACTCACTTAAAGATCTTTTCACTAAAGTTCATAATGTATAATTTTTACTCTTGATTCCACAAAGTTAATTGCACTGCTGTTCTCTCCCTTCTTTGTATCATAAC